GAAACTGGATTAACCAGAAAATTCACTTTTCAATCGACGTTCGAGGCCGTACTGTTGTGGTTGCCAAACCAGAATGGATATGTAATGGTAATATAAGTCGTCAGCACTTCCATAACGTAAGTCCAAATAAATTAGGTTTTCCTTGTTAGTAGATATATATAAACATAACATACATACTCTTTTGCTCATTCGTTTAATTCGTGCGTACGTTCGTATGTCAGTACCTTCGTACGTTCGTACGTCCGTTCGCTCGTTCGTCCCTTCGTCTCTTCCTGCCTTCGTCCGTTCGTCCCTTTGTCCCTTTGTCCGTTCCGTCTGTCTATCCGTCTTTCCGTTCGTTCGCTCGCTCGCTCGTTCGTTCGTTCGTCCGTTCGTTCGTCCGTTCGTTCGTTTGTTCCATCGCCCGTTTGTTAGCTCGTTCGTTCGTTCATTCGTTCCTATGTTCGTAGATTCGTTCGCTTAGTCAGTCCTCTGGATGCGTACGACCAGAGTAGATTGGTAAGATAGTTCCTTATTTTCACTTCTTTGGCATCTCAACCTCGAATGACTGGTTGCACTACATGGGTTACAAAAACAAGGAAGTCTCTTTGTCGGCAGTACATGAAGTGCATTGCTCTAATCGATTTACTCATTCTGAATTGAGGGTGGCAAAGGGAGGAGGGGGGAATGAATCACGCATCACGATGATTTTTCCCTATTAAATCACGCATCACGGATAAATTGTTTTCACCAATCACGCGTCACGTAAAAAAAAAAAAAAATTAACCACGTTGCCAATTTTGCTTTCTCGACCCTAAAAGCGTTGTTAAAAGGAGACATCTGCCGATTCAACCACAGAAATGCATCAGAAAATATTCCAACATAATTTCCCCCGAAATGCCAAAAAAGTGACACTACAGGAGACTGGTAGATTCGGTCTGTATCCAGGATTCTCGGCCTGGATAATGGGAGAGTTGGCACCGTCTGTGAGCAGGCTCCTGACGAGCCCGGAAAAATTAAAATAGGGCGAGCGAAGCAAGCGTAGCAGGGTGGGATTTTTCCCTCTCCAGACAGGCGGGCTAATTCCGCCCGCCTCTTTGTTTTCTTCCTCTATAACACAATCGGGAGCCTGTTCACAGGCTAAGTTGGCAGAAATCTTGTATATGAATCGAGGAGACGTCTACGCCACCTTTGCCATGCTTTGATATACAGGCAATATTTGTGTCAAAGCTTTACCCCTGCAAATTCTCTTCTGTACTGCAACGTTTTTGTGTCTGTGGATGACATAACGTGGCTTTTGAATCCAGTTAGGTCTTTATGACGACCTTCACAAGTGGTTCACAAACGTTTTCCTTGTGCAGCCTCTCACTGTCTTCTCGAGCGGCATAAAATGACACCAAACTCTAACGTCTCTTATCTTTTTAGCCGTTTGGGATCCCCCGGATATGGGACGACATTCTTTCAGACTTTTCATACGATGATTGATTGATTGATTGGCTGATTAATTGATTGATAGCCAGATTCGGATATGGTCTGATGCACTGCCAAAAGTGATTGGTCGACAAAATAGACAAAATAACTGTGAAGGTCATAGTCCTAGTACAAAGTTTAACTGTTTTCAATTGACTTATTCCTATTGTGTCACAATTGTTTGGACCTATAGTACCATGATGATCGACCAACATCAAAGACATCAGAGATCAAGAAAAATGACGAAAAGGACCAGAAAATGGTGTCACATCTGCCACGATTTATTGATCTCTTTTAAGATTCTATTTACTGTTTACTTTTTGAATGAATGGCATCAGTTGTAGTTGAAAGAACGTTCACTTAATTATGACGGAAATCCAATTGACAAATCACGTGCTTGTAAAATAGCAAATCACGCATCACGTTATGATGTCCTGTCC